GCAGCCGTGCCTCATGCCCGACAGGGTCTGCCGGCTCTGAGCATTCCCCTCAAGGTTCTGTGCCACCTGAACCAGCTGTGGTGGGACGGCCAGGTAACGGGCCCTCTCCAGTAGGTATCGGGAGCTCAGGCTGCGTGGTGGCAGGCAGCCTCTGGGAGGAGTGCCGCGTCTCCCTGGGGAAACCGGCCAAGTCTCTCACGTCCCCAGGAACCAGGTAGATGTGTCCGCTTACGACGGACAGGGTGGGTCAGCCAAAGCAAGCGAGGATTCACGTTCTTGGAGCTCTGCGGGGTGGCCTTCCTCTGGGTGTGGCCGGGGGTGGATTTGACCAGAGCCGCTGAGAAGCTGCTCGGCTTCTCCCCACTATCCCACACCATCCCTTGGTTTCTTCCCGACAGAAGCAAAAACCATCCACTTTCTGAGGGAAGGGGCCCCAAGCCTCAGCGGGGTTGCTTTCGAATGGAGATGGGCAGGCTCTCTTCTCTCCTGCTAACTCTGAGCCCAGTCTACTGCTACCGAGTCAATTCTTAGGGACCCTGTCGGATAAACAATTGCCTCCATGGGGCACCGAAGGCTATCATTTTCTGGGAAGCGTGAAGGCCATATCGCTCGCCCTTGGAGCAGCAGGTGGGCTTGAACCACCGACCTTTCCATTCGCAGCTGAGGCCTTCGCCAGGGTGGCACCAGGGCTCCTTAGGATGAAGATTAAAAAACCCTGCCATCGAGTCATTTCTGACTCACAGCGGCTGGCCGTGTAGCAGAGAGCAGACCTGCCTCACAGGCTTCCCAGGCTGTCACCTTGATGACGGGAGCAGGCAGCCAGGCCTTTACTCCTGCTCCCTGACAAGGTTAAAGACAGCATGCTGTGTAGAAGTCATGAGAGCTGAAAGGGCAGGATTTGTGGTCTCCCATCAGGTGGCCCCAGTGACTACCTGGCCAGCAGGGGTGGGGCCCCGGTCGAGTGTCTACAGTGCCTGCCCTAGTTTTAAGCAATGTTCCTCCCCACTGTTAATCACTGTGCTTTGAGCTGGGAGGTGCTGGGGGAAGGGTGGCCCCTTGGTCAGACTTGCTTGGACCGATGTTCCCCTTTCGAGCAGGGAAAGTGCAGGTTTGAAGCGCTCGTGAGGGTTTGGGCAGTCAGGCTGGAGAGAAGCAAATGCAACAGGTCAGCCTCACTGTCCCGGTTTCCCACGTCTTTTTTTTTTTATCATTTTACTGGGGGATCTTACAGCTCTTCTCATCATCCATCCGTACATTCGTTGTGTCCGGCACATTTGTCCATATGTTGCTATCATTTTCAAAGCATTTTCTTTCTACTTGAGCCCTAGATATCAGTTCATTTCCCCCCTCCCCACTCTCCCTCCCTCA